ACAAAAAGCTCCAATCAAGTGTCGAAGGGGTATGTTCATTTCCGCTTATCATCTTTTTTATATCACCTTCTGATCCTCCGCAGTTCGAATCCGAACACCGTAAAATGGCCAAAACCGTTACTGCCGTAAAAATAACATTCAAAGGCATTTAGAGCCAACAGAATCATCTCGTTGCACAGAACGATGTTATACAGAAAGCCCTCAAAAATATCAAAAAGAACCAAACTCTCTTCATAGGACGTCAAGACAAAATCAAGGGGAAATCCACAGCGACAAAGAAGGCCGCCGCAGCTATTGCAGAGAAACAAGAAACATTTAACAAGCTAGTACTCGAACTAAAACAAAAAGAAGAGGAACTCGACAAACGCAAGATGTTTGCAACGGCCGTTGTTCAGTGAGATTACTTAGAACCGATAGACAATGTTGTGTATTTTATGCAAAGGTATATATCTTGAAATTTTATAACGGTGATGGCATAAACCTGGGAAGGCCCTCCCGTTGCATAAAAGTTTTAGTGGGGGGGGGGGGGGGGTTACATATATGCAATTTGTATGGGCAGAATGTACCACAGGGACAGTACGCACTTTATATCAACAGATGTATAGCAGGCTCTGTCATATCAACCGCGAGTTTCAAAGTGAAAAAAGTAATACGCACATCCTGCAATGTCGTCGGCTAGCGTGCTAGGTTGTTAGGGTTTCGTTTCAGGAGTTAGGGTAGGGTTTCCACGGTTTCTGTGTTACGTGAACCATGTAAATGGAAGAACCTGATTGGCCAAGACGAGACGGTGCCTGCTGCACCGCCAAGTTAGTCACAGCCACAAAGTAGGTCAAAGTGATTCGGAAGACAATGGCACGTCATTACGGGATATGGTAAGACTGGATTTCGGTGGATACAGCGTAAAATGTTGGATGAATGGTTCTGATTTTAAGGAGCATGGATACGGCGATTCGGATGAATGTCTGTACATACTACATAGAACAATAGCGTGTCCTCGCTTTGGCCTCTTCCAGTGAGTCGTCGCTACTGATCGACTACACGTGAATACTATACAGACATAGGTACATACCACCATCACTACTGTCAACTTAATCGAACTGCGATGGATGAAATAATATTTGTTACAGGAACCTACATGTTTTAGTCGGCTATATCTATATGCGGTTATTCATTTTTCACGAGTCTCGAAGTATCGTCGAAATAGACATATATACAAATACATGATGGTATGATGGACGAAAAGAAAATAAGTCAGTTCCCTTCTAGCTTCTTATGTTCTGTTATTCAAACTGATACAATGGCTCACCTTCCTTACCCGAAAAAAGGCAATACCTGCATGACCAAAAGCACTCGCAAAGCTGGTGTCACTGGATCTGTACTATCATCAACAGTGCAAACATAAGCACAGGATCGATGCGCAAAATAGAAAGACGCTAGATTAAATCACCGATGAATATATTTGTCTGACATGCTTTATCCCACGAATGAACCGTTTATATCCCGAATATCAAATTACAATTTACGCTTTTGACTATTCCTGACTATTTTCGGTCGCATGGATTTCAGCTGGAGAAAGACATACACGATGGTGGGTGGATTTGTCTCTTTTTTGTTTACGGGATGTGTTTACTACAGTCAAACTGAGGCCACGGAAGATGGTTGGTGCGTTTTGGGCGGCAGAGTAAGCTAAGAATTGTCATGATATCAGTACGCTTCTCCCATCATGGCCTACAGCTCAGCATACTCACACTTTGTCTCTCGACTTTTTCTTTTTCATGTATTGAGACTCTACCAGTTCTGGCCCACAGATATACCCCACTGATGTTCCGCAGTGGAAAACTCTAGTGCCTCGCAATATCATCAACATTTACAAAACTTTGGAAATCACTTCAACATCAGAAAAAGAAGCTTGGATGTCTTCCTCTCCCCGTAGGCAGAAGGAAAATATCCGGCAGTCCGAGATGAACCCGAGACTGCCCTGGAAAAACCATGCTGGAATCACCCAAGCATGTAAACCAGTTTAACCCCCAGTTGGCACTTCCTCCCATCCCGCCCATTGGCTTCACCACCCGACTTCGACACCCCCGTTGCTGATTTGTAGGTAACAGGACTGTTGCTAATTGGCGAATTTGTCCAGATATTCAGTGTCGCTATACAATGTCTATGTTTTCCTCCACGTACTTCCCCAAGCGAACCCAGTTTTTGTAATGTAGTCATAGTGCTGTTCAAAGTACCCCCACGTTATTCCCCTATTGAGCCCATTTGTCAAAAACTCAAGTCGTCGATATTTCCTAGCGTCAATCAGTTGTCCCCCACGTTACCCCTAAAGTCAATCCAATATTGCCGTACTGTAGTAATAATCAAGTTGTAGAAATGTCGTTTTGCTATTTACTCATCCTCCACGTTATTCCCGAAGTTCATCCAATTGTTGCAAAGAAGCTGTTAATGTTGTAGTGGTGTTTTTCAGTTGTCCCCCACGTTATTCCCCAAATTCATCCAATATTGCCGTACCATAGTAATATTTATGTTGTTATGCCCCCAGTGGAACCATATCCTCCAATCCGCCCATTGGCTTCACCACCCAGCTGTTACACCCCATTGCTGATTCGTTCATCCATATTCTATTGGTTGTTGTTCATGTTGTCGAAGTTGTGTAAACCGTTATCGATTTGACGTAATTGTCGATGTTGCTGAAGTTGTCGAAGTCGTCCACCCCGTTATCATCCATAGAATCTTCTACATTGACCTCGAAGTCAAAGGTCTTGATAGTACTTATAGCAATCAAGCTATATTGCCCCAGTACAAAGTACTTATCCGAATGCCCCCAGTACCCATAAGCCCCCAGTACCCATAATCCCCCAGTACCCATAAGCCCCCAGTAACCCATAAGCCCCCAGTAACCCATAATCCCCCAGTACCCATAAGCAATCAGTGACCAACCGCCGCAGACAAGTGCAATGCAATAACTACAAAGCACCGAACTTGCTGCAGTCTCGTTGTCTCCCCGCAGGCAGACAACGAGATTTAGCATACCGAAGGAATCATATCAGCTTGGAAAAAAACTGTTAACCTATACTGAGTTTCTGATGTCGACCAGGAATATTCAAACTGATGGATGAGCCTCATTCATGGCTGCAGAGTAGAAGGTGATCGTAGGCGCTTTTGCAGTCGCGTTCCCCAAATATTTGACTGACCATGATAATGATGCGTATAGTCGATGAGTCAGTGTTGGTGTTGAGGAGTGTACTCGAACTCGGGTAGCTGTGAGGTTATCGACGAGGAAGAGAGAAGGAAGAGGAAATAGGCCGTTATTTTATAGGTGGGATGGTTACACAAGACCAATTATTGATCGGCCAAATTTTGGTAGGCTATGCTGTTTCGTCGACGGGGTTAGGGGATTTTGCGTGGTTGATGGCCCTTTCTGAGTTGTTTGAAGGGTTGAGATCGAAACTCTGGCGGAGGGTCATCTTTTTATTGCGTGTTGAGGGGTCGAAATAGAAACGGGAGGTAATTCAATATAGCGGTTCATGTATTGAACGCCTTGGTAGCTGAATAGAATTGTCTGATTTTTCTTGCGGCTACCAATACCGTGTTATATTTTACGTGATATCGAGAAATAGTGGTTTTCCGTAGTATCAAGGAATAAATAATGTTTTCCATGACAAGATTTTCCACTTATCAACCGTAGTGTAAAGGGAAATATGAAGCGGGATGCGGTGGAGTCGAATACACCGAAATCTAGCGGGTATAGATATTTCATTGGGTTAAGAGAGTTATCCGGGGTGTAATGGAATGGCCCGAGTCAAAGATATGGCTACATTCTATTCATGAGAAAATATCCGCAAAGTAAAGAGTGAAGGATTCAACATTGAACTTTCCTGAAGAGATAATGATTCGAGGATGGATCACAAGCGTACAGAATGCAATTTATATCAGCCGTCGACGCACTCCTTTTCAATGTTAATCATCTTAAGTGAAAAATACCCGCATTATTCATGGTAGAATGCAGTGTGCAAAAGTTCTATACAGCACTATTGCTGTAAAGGCAAATCAAACCAATCTCCAAAACATGGAGCAAGCATCAAATATCACTCATTCTCTACCTTGTGTAAGCCCCCTAATTTCGCTTTGCAGTGCAAAAAATCCATCTTGTCCATTATCACAGCTCCGTTGAACACAATATTTTATCAGACACTCCAAATATTGACATATCTGGACCAGGGCGGCTGCGGCTGCGGCGACGGGGGTACGGTGGGATGGGAGCGGTGACACTTAGCACCGCGTCATCATGCGCCCGAAATCAACGAGTTACGACCTGGAGTCTCGAGACCAGTAGTAAGAAACACCTAGAAAGCAGGAGCACATTGCACCATATCCGACGCTTTAAACCACCCCACCTCAACCAATCTCGTCCTTATCTTCATTCCTATCCCCATTCCTATCTTCATCGTCATCGTCATCCACATCCTCATCCTCACTTTCATCACTGCCATGAAGCTTTATGTTACCACTTACCAACCCGTCAACATTCCCAAAAGTTGCAACACAGGATCTTCAATCACCACTACCTAAATTCACTACAGGCTTATACTTCCAAAAACCGCAGGTCCGCGGGAATCGTTTCTTTGAGACGATAATAAATGTTTCATATATTTTCTTCTATAGACGAAAAGAGCATTTATAAAACGTCTCTGCGGCTTAACTTGGGACTTTAAAGTACGGCGAGAGATAATGAGATGCGGATGATGAGAGAAATTTTTGAAGATGATAATAAGGTATGATATGGTATGGTAAGACTTTATATATGGCTGTATACACCCCACCTCCTCACCATCCAACCATCAATTCCCAATTCCCCATCCCTACATTCCACATCCATCCAATATCCATAGAAATAGCCCAGATCTATTCAACCCACCATTATTACCCAAAAACAAACCCCCAAACCCTAGCCTTGTATCAGTAGCTTATATACTTATAACTTACTCAAGTGTCATCAAGCCCGAATGGTCTAGTGGTATGATTCCTGCTTTGGGTTCTACTCATAACTGCAGGAGGTCTCCGGTTCAAACCCGGATTCGGGCCTACTTTTTACTCTTTGATTTTTGCCCTCGCTCATACAAATCTAGGCCAAGGGTCGGTGTTTGTTTGAACTTTGTGTATGGTTACAACTTGCCCCTGCAAGGAAATGAGAGGAGGAAGTTGGGTTTGGGGAAGGAGGAGGATGCTTTTTTTTTTACAATGTTAAAGAGATGGATTCGGCCGGTGGGTTATCTCATGAGCCCCTTCCCAGTTCTAGATATGTCAGATGTATTATTTTCGCCGGTTGGATTGAGGTAGCGGATTACTGAGGCTTGATGTCTTTTCATAAAGTCAAAGGACAACCAGTCTAAGATGGATATAGTAGAAATTTGATTTTTGCTTCCTTCACGGAAGTCATACTGAAAACGCCTATCACTCGACATCACATATTTATCACATACAGTTCCATTTCGCGATTCCCTAATAAAAACAATAAAACAAAAGCCCCATTTTATTCCGCACATTCTCCGTGTCAGGCATTGGAGAAAAAAAAGAAACGACAAAAACAAACGAAAAAATATCTGGGTATCTATCCATGCTATCATATCCAATCCTCTCTAATTCTCATCCAACTGTTCCTCAAAATCATTATCCGATTCCTCAGCCGCACTTCCGGAGACCGACATAACTCTTTTCAATCTATGATTGACATATTCCAACACCTCCTCATCATCTCTTTCCCTAGCTTTTCTCTCTTCCTCATCTTCATCCTCCGTCCAATCGCTTCTAACGTCAATACTTCTCGCCGAATGTCTTCTTCCCAAAAAGGGTTGAGGTTTCTTTGTAACTCTAGAGAAAATATCATCGAAATAATGTGCTGCTGCAGACCCAGGGGTACGAGGAGTATGAGGAAGACGACAGTTAACTCCCGAGTCGTGGATCATCTTGGCGATTAAACCGGTCCAACCAGTTTGGTGGGAAGCACCGAGACCCCGACCATCGTCACCATGGAAGAATTCATGGAAGAAGACATGATCACGCCAGTGAGGATCGTGATCTAGGGTGTCAAGACCAGCGTTACATGCACGACGTCCGTAGTCGTCCCTGGCGAAGATGTGCTGGAGACGATGCTGGATTTCCTCGGCAACTTGACCGAGGTGCATGTAATCGCCTGAGCCGGTAGGACACTCCACCTTGAACTTAGATCCGTAAAACATGTGGAATCTTAACAAACTCTCAATCAAGAGGAAGTTAACACAAAGCCAAATGGGACCTCTCCAGTTAGAGTTTCCTCCAAACATGGCGGAGTTCGAATCTCCAGGTACGTAATCAACCCGGAACTCAGTGCCGTTGACGTTCATGGTGTAAGGGTTTTTCTCGTGGTATTTTGACAAGGAACGAATACCGTATGGAGAAAGGAATTCGTCTTCGTCAAGCATCTTTTGGAGGATCTTCTTCAGTTTATCCTTACTTACAAGGGCCAAGAGAAGACGGTCTCCTTTACCGCGGCGCTTCATGGAGGCGATATTGCGCTCTGCTACATCGGTACGGTTTTCGATGAACCAATCCATGCGCTTGGTGAAGGAAGGGAATTTCTTGAGCACCTCGGGTTCAAGGGTTAGAACGGCGAATAAGGGAATAAGACCGACGAGGGACTTGACAGGCATCTGTTGCGAGCTGGGGCCTCCGTGGGAAATGGCGTCGTAATAGAAACTATGGGCTGTCATTGACCGCTGATATACAAAAGTGGATTAGGGAACAGAAAACATACCCATCATTGTCATTCCACAAGGACCTCTCCTTCTCTCCATCACGGTAAGTCATAGCATCTGAAATGAAGATAAAGTGCTCAAAGAACTTGCTGGCAATATCCTCATAAATTCTGCGATGCTTGGCAAGTTCGAGGGCGATATTCAACATGTTAAGACAGTAGAACGCCATCCAACCGGTGGAATCTGCCTGCTCCAAAACACCTCCAGTAGGTAGCTCTTCAGAACGGTTAAAGATTCCAATGTTGTCAAGACCAAGGAAACCTCCCTCGAAAACGTTCTTTCCCTCAGAGTCCTTGCGGTTAACCCACCAGGTGAAGTTGAGAAGAAGCTTCTGGAAGACGCGCTCCAGAAAGTCCAAGTCCTCACGTCCGTACATCTTTCGCTCAATCTTGAAGATACGGAAGGTAGCCCAGGCATGGACAGGAGGGTTGACATCTCCGTAGTTCCACTCATAGGCGGGAATCTGTCCGTTAGGGTGCATGTACCACTCTCTAGTCAAGACGTCAAGCTGTTTCTTGGCGAACTCGGGATCGACCATGGCGAGGGGGATACAGTGGAAGGCGGTATCCCAAGCAGCGAAGAAGGGATATTCCCAACAATCCGGCATAGACAAGATATCATCCAAGTACATGTGCCGCCACTTGTCGTTTCTGATGTTCTTTCGCTCGGGAGGGGGAGGGGGTTGTTTAGGATCTCCATTAGCCCACTGCTCCCAGATCATGTGGTAAAACTGTTTAGTCCACAACATTCCAGCGAACGCTTGTCTCTGAATGTTCCTAAGATCCTCAGTCATCGGAAGAGGGGAGATGCGCCAGTAAAACTCATCAGCCTCGTAGCGACGGAGCTCAAACATGTCGTCAAAGATCTCCTCATCGATACCTTCGTCAGTTTGGACGACTCCACGCTCGTCGGTGAATGTACGCTTTTCGACCTTGGTAGAAAGCTTGAAACGAACGACGGCGCAGCCACCTGGGGGAATTCCATCACCCTCCTCGAATGCGTACCAAGCCGCAACCTTGGTTCCCGTCTTGGCGGGGTTTACAGCATCTTTCTCTCCATCAATAATATGGCGATGGAAACCGTCCTTGGTGTATTTAGTCTTATTGTCGACTCCATAAAGAGCCTGGAGATTGGTGTCATTGTCGGTAAACAACAAGTTGGGGTGAACATCGGAAGAGTCTGGAGTAACTCCTGGGGAGGGGGAAAGCTGCATAATGCGCTCTCCGATCTTCCAGTGCTTTGATTTGGCCACAAATTCACCCTGGGCTTCGATGCTGGGCTTTTTGTCGTCGGTTTCGTAACCCCATGCCCAGGTGTTTCTGAAGGTGATTTGGGGGATGATGTGGAGAGGAGCGGCCTCAGGTCCACGGTTGTACGCAGTTACACGGAAGAGGATCTCGTCGGGGTCTTCGGTGTCTTTGGCTGTCTCGATGTAGATATCCCAGTAACGGTCATCCCTGTGATGTGGTGTAAGTAATCGTAAGCGCTAGCCGCGCGTGCAAGGGAGCTTACTTGAAGATTCCGGTGTCGATGATGTTGTACTCGGGAACGTCTCTGCTGCGCTCACGGTTCTCCTTGCGAATTTCTTCGTAGGGGAATTTGCTCTGAGGGTATTTGTAGAGGTATTTCATGTAACTGTGGGTGGGGGTATTGTCGAGGTAGTAATGAATCTCTTTAATTGATTCTCCGTGGTTTCCCTCGGGGTTTCCCAATCCGAAGAGACGCTCCTTGAGGATATCACTGCACTGGTCAGCAGCGGTAGATTCATTCGGTCATTGATAGAAGGTGGGCGCACTCTTTCTCGTTCCAGAAGGCGAAACTGACACACTGGAGTGCGTGAGAATCGGAAACTCCAGCAATTCCATCTTCTCCCCAACGGTATGCACGCGATTTTGCTTGGTCGAAGCCGAAGTCTGGTAGATGAAGTAAGCGAGGTGATCGGGAGAGAAGTGGTAGACGACGCGAGGGAGGTGGAATAGGGTAGACATACGGGCCCAGGCATCTCCGTTAGCTCTGTAGAAGTAGTTATCAGCACGGTTCAAGTAGCAAAACTCCCCAACCCTCAATTAAATCAAATCAGATAAAACTTACGAGTAATCCTCTCTTACAGTTCCCCATTGTCTCCTATTTGTTGCATTAATATTTTTCCCGAATCAGTACCACCATCAGACTCACTCGCTGAGGTATGGTCCCCATTTTTTCCAATACTTCGTCCGCTCTCTATCTTCCTTCAACCTCTTCTCCTCAGCACAGAGGTATTCGTGATTTCCGTGTTTCACCATACTGGTGCGTTCCGCGAGTGCTTTGGCGATTAACTCGGCAGGACAATAACGGTGTGGTTGTCTTAGGCGGGGATATTGTGAGATGGAACAAGAAGAAAACAGAGCTCTCAGACGGGGTGATATAGCCAGCTTGAAAGGTGGGGTTTTAAACTTAATTAGAACAAAACACTCCGCAGACAGAACTAGACCTCAAACTGTGATGATAGGCCAACGAATTAAATTGGATAAGGTAACAAGTGAAATATTTTGCCCTGCTTGTTGGAGTAAGTATCTGCAAGCAGCCTGCAGCCACCGAGACTTGGAAAAAACACCTCGCTGCCTCTAGCCAGCCTAGCCTGCAAAGGAATCTGTGAACCTATGGGATGCGCTGTACGAAAGGAAGCCAGAGGGTTCTGGGTAACAGATAACGGGTATCGGGGGGGGCGTCCAAATGGCCATTTCGAAACGGGCGTGCGGAATCTGAGCCGACCTCGCCACTGTGATGGACGGTGCTTGGTGGTGCTTTGAAGCTGGCCTGGGACACCAGCTAGGCTATGGGCACGCGTTCATCCCATCCATCTTCAAGGTCATTTCCATCACTACACGCGTTGAAGCTTTTGTCATAGCAGAATCACATGAGGAAACACCAGTATGTACGAGAGTCCAGTCCTCGCTGCGGGGTTGAAGTGAGGGGGGGTGCGGGTGAGGTGAGGGGCTGCTGCCGGTTGCATTGTTGGTTGCTATGGTTGCGGGGTGTTCTTGGTGATGTCATCATGACCGCCGAGCTTGATTGGGTTTTTCCGTTGTCTTGTGTAACCTGTCTGACTACATACCAAGCTCCCCCCACCCTTCACTCACTCCCACTCACTCGAGAAGCAGCTCCACAATCGCCCCGCCTCGTGCACGGCTTACAATTGCGCGAATAATTCTTAGATTGCAATCATTCATGCATTCCTGATTTTCACAACGGGGGCTGTAGTTATATCTATTTCTATCGATAGACACTCCTGGATCCGATAAGCTGGATAAG